AATAATAATAATAATAATAATAATAATAATAATAATAATATATATATATATAATAATAATAATAATAATAATAATAATAATAATAATAATAATAATAAAATAAAATATAGGAAAAAAGGAAATGTATTGATTGCATAGCATAAATTTGAATAAAAATATAGCTTAATGATATCAGAAATCAACGATCCTTAGCTCGTTGTATTCGTCTCGTCCAGCCGCTCAATTCGACTATAAAAAAATAAAATTTGGAAACTATTTGATCATCCCAATTATGTTTTAAACCTTCCAAATGTGCTTTGGGTCCTTGATTTGGGCTCAGATTGAGTCGAATTTGCTGTTGTTGGGTTCATATTTTTGAGACGTTCAGTTCGACTATAAGTTTGCTGAAATTAGAGTTCAAATGGTCTCCAATTTAATTTTTGAAGCGTCCGACTGATTTTTTCTCGAGATTCGTGCTCGATCGACTTAATTTTTTTGATAATACATCAATATCTTAGTCTTGATTAAGAAAAATAAATTAATCCAATTACTTCTTTCTCTTAAATCGAGTATGTATATAAGAGAAAAAAATCAATTTCTCACATATAAAAATATACAAGCTCTTTTTTTTTTTTTTGGGAAATAAAATGTACAAGCTTTGCTCTTCCTTATTCTACGTTAGGTGGTGATTGGCTGAAGACAATTGAAAAAAAATTTTTTTTTAGGGGGGCACGTGCCCTTGGCCCCCCCTCACTCTGCCACTGGATCTCACAATGACCATCTTGCCCCTCAATTCAATTTGATCTGGCGGGTGAGATTAATTTGTTATATTTAAGATGTGGTGGAAAACTGAGATGACTAAAATCACAAAACTATTATGTTGTATTTAAGAAGTGGTAGAAAGTTGAGATGACTAAACTAATCAAGATAACTCTATTTGATGGCATTTGGATTAAGTTGGTTGAGTCAATTTGAGTTAATTGAAGCTGATTCTATTTAAATTAAGTAAAGATAAGTTAATTTGTGCCGATCGAAGCCGCTGAACCTAACTTGGACTCAAGCTGAGACGAAGTAGCTTAATGTAGTTCGATTAAATTTATTTAATTGGGATCACATTGGCTTTGGTTAATTTGAAATTGTCTCGATTTGATCTAAAGAAGAAGCGATGATGATTATGAGCATTTTTTTGGAAAACGAGTTCAACAACAAATCATATATATTACATACCTTTAATGATTTGAATATAAGTATTTTTAACTCCTTTCTTTTCTAGAACTCTCCAGAGCACTTCTCTTGAAAAATTTTCATATATTTTCTCTAAATCAATAGTTATCATATGTCGATCCTCCTTACTCTCTCTATACTTCACCAAACATCTCAAAATATGTATAGCTTCCATGTTAGGCCTTCCTGGCATGAATCCAAATTGATTTTTAGAAACATTAATATCATCATAATATATGCTTAATTACTCTCGCCCATAGTTTTAATGTATGACACGTTAACTTTATTCCTCTATCTTTCGCACAATCTAGTGCATCATTTTTATTTTAAAAATAGGAACCAACACACTCCTCTCCACTCATCTGACATTTTTTTAGTCTTCAAACTAATATTAGAAAGTTTTGTAAATCTTAACAATTTCTCTTATGTGAGAGCTCTTCACATCGACCATCACTCCCTGTAAAATTGATTTTTTTTAAGCTCATGAAGTATTACGTGCCAATAGCCTACTCAACCATATAACCTATTAGAGTCATCTGATCTTGAAATTTGCTCAACCTTGGTAGAAAACACCGAAGGCTAATGAAAAACACAAATGAAAAAGCTTGATCCAATGTTTACATTGCGTATTCGGGTATTGAGGCGTTTTTCATTCGTGAGGCGAAGCGTAAGCCTCAAGGCATTTTGAGGCGTAAGCCTCCAAATCAAAAGATTACGTCAACATAAAATGATAAATTTTTTATATACTAATGAATGAATAATATAAAACATAAAAAAGCATAAGATATAAAGTGAAATCAAAATATCCCAATAATAAGACAACATGAATTATAGTTCAACTCAAAATTCTATCTTTCCCAAATCCCAATATTCTTTTCATTAACATATAATTCAAATTTTCAAAAATAAATAGCAATGACATATCATATAAGAACTCATAAGTCATCATCACTATCATCACTAAGGGGTTCTTCATTTGAATCATCATTATGATGAACTGCTCTCTCCCCTTCCTCCTCTCCTATAGAGTCCAATGTCGGCCATTTACTTCAAGATAGAGTCCAATGTCAGGCATTTACTTCAAGATTTATGTAAGTTTTAATATATATAGCTTGAGGCGTAAGCTTCATGCCAGTGAGGCGAGGCGGGCCTCAAGGCGGGCCTCAACCAAGTTGAGGCGCAAGCCTCATAAAAAAAACTCGAGGCGTTTTTTACTGGAATTGCGCAAAGGCGGGCCTCAAGGCGAGCCTCATATTACGCAATTTTAAACCATAGGTTGATCTTAATAGAAGAACCATTAGCTCAAATACCACTTATTAGAGAAAATGGACCAAGTGATGGCCAAAAGTTTTTCTGTTATACAAGTGGCCAAACATGACTTCAATTCAAACCCTTAAAGCTTTTGGGTGGGGCAACCATTCAATGTTTTTATAATATATTTTTCTCCCATGCAATGCATCTAAATCCAATTCTTTTACATGCATCAGTAGACCCTGCATTGGGGGATCTCCATTTATTGTAAGTTTCTTAGATTTGAATTTTGGGAGCAAAACAATGAGCTAACTGTCCGGAAGAAGATTCAGAAATTCTATTTAGGGTTGGTGATATTAAATTCCTTAGTGTTGTCTAGTTCTCTTTTTATGACAACGCTATTGGAGTAATTCATTAACGTTTAACTGTAGTTTAGCATATTGGGTTGGTGCACAGCACTGTCATCTACTTTCTTTGGTGGACAGTATTAGATTTTAATCTGTTTTCTGTTTCCCGTTGTCATCTCTGTTGAATGCCACCTCAGTTTTTTAACATTCTCAGTGGACTGTCAGCTCTTAATTTTTAATTAGTTTTAAGTCCTTGTGTTCTCATAGGTTGCAGATAGAGGGACAGGGGAATTTCTCTCATTTCTGGATAATTTATTTGTCATGGTAATAAATTATTCTATGCTTTGAAGGTCTACTTCTTTGCGGAGACTGATGATTCAAAGCCCTTCATCTTGTTACTTCAAGATGTGGCAAGAAAATACAAATCCAAGGTGATAATATTTTGTTTGTTTGATTATGGAATGCTTCAATGTATGCTTTAGTTGAAAAGATTAATTGTCTAATTTGATGTGTTTTTTATTCAGATAATGTTTATATATGTTGATTCTTCGGAAGAAAGCCTTGCAAAACCTTTATTAACATTATTTGGGCTGGATGGAAAAAGGCCTCTTGTGAGTTTCTAATGGACTATGTTTTATACATACTTTGGTCATATTTGTTCGTACAAATTAGGTTGATTTTAATGTGCATCTTGATGTCTGCGTTTTCTTGTCATGGCTAAGATAGTTTTGCTTAACTGTCTAGCTTACTGAAATATTTTATTGCTTTAGTTAGCAAGTACATAGCACAATAACAATAAGGCAATAGAAGTGACATATTTCAGAAGGGCTAGGAAGGCTGAGTAGGCACTGGCTCAAAAAGCCTTAACTGAACAATATGTAACGAAAATTCATCTCTTAGCAATAGTAAATCAAGACAAAGTCTCACAAACTAGGCCTCAAAGCATGTATTGACATTTAAGGAAGCAGCCTTCTCGAATTCAAATCTAAGTTGGAGATCGGGCTCTTAAAATATCTACCATATGGTGTGTCCTTGTCCTCTTATTTTTCAATAGAAAAGACAATTCTGACTGCGCTTTGAAACAGATTAGTTACAAATGGGAAATACACTTTTGACTTGGACTTGATCTAGGCTGTGCTCTGACTTCTCTTCTACTAGTTTTTTTCCTCATTTGGCTATTTGTATGGTAGAACAATAAAGTGACTGGTTATTTGCATGTCAATATTCAAGAGATGCTTATTTCAAATGTCTTTAATATTACCTAAGTTTGTTTGGTTATAATATTTTTATCATTATAATCTTTTTATATTTTATGTCAAGGCATGCTCGAAGATATACAAATCTATCTACTTGCATGTGAAAGGTGTGCGTGCATGATTTATATATTTTATATAATACAAATTTTACTAACTGACATGTTAACTTTCTAAGGTTTCTTGGACATTTGTTCGCTATGTTATTGTTAATGTTCTGTGATTGCTTCATAGGTCTATCCAATTATAAGGACCAATCTATGTGGATGGTGGGAGTTCTAACAGTTTTTCTCTTATATAATGAGGCTTCAGATAAACTGTAGTTAACCAAAGTTGCAATCAAGTTTTTAACAATTCTGGAAAGGTTGAATAGTCATTTTATACAACCACAGGGTGACCTGCCTATGAGGATTTTTATTCTTCTTCTTCTTCGAGTTCTGAATATATAGTAAAATAATTTATGTTTTTAAATATATTTTTCTGTGTTCTCATATCATAAATTTTCTATGCTTAGTAGCGTTGCCATGAAAATGTCTGCCATTGTATCTGCATCAAATGTAATATATTAATCTAAATTTCATTGTTTTAATTATGTTTACTTGCAAAGGATATTTTGCTCTTTTATGTAATTATTCTTGACAACTCTTACATTATTATATTGTTATTATGCTTGTTCAACTTTTTAAGTTGAAGTTGATCATGTACTATTTAATTACCCAGGTGACTGCATTCGATAATAGGGTTGGCTCCAAATATCTTATGGACTCAGATATTACTACACAGAATTTAGAAGTAAAACCTTCGACTTCTTGAGATTTAACTTGTTCTTATTGAACTTGAATTGCGTAAATTTTGGTATTGTGATGATTTTCAGGAGTTCTGCTCAGGACTGCTGCTTGGTACTCTCTCACCCTTCTTCAAGTCAGAGCCCATTCCAAATCATGTAAGCATTCATTTAGGCTTTGTTTGGGGCGGCTTTCTTAATACTTTTTAAAATAACTTTTTAGTATAAATTTTTTTATTTTTGTACTAAAAAGTTGCAAAAAAGTTGTTCCAAATGAAGACTTAGTTTCATATGTGCACACAATTTCCATGAGGTGCCTTGGTCCACCTGTTCAATATTGCCCTTTTACACGATTGTGTTTTTCCCATTCTTTGCCACCATCTCTGCTATGTTTTTCATGTCAGCGATGTGCTTGAAAAATTAATTTCTAGTCTCTCTCAAGTCTCATGGAAACTATTATTTGCTCACCTGACAAGGATACCAATTTTTCTGGTGAAATTGCAGAGTGAGATTATTGAAAAGGTTGTTGGTAGGACATTTGATTCCTCCATCTTGGACAGTGCTGAGAATGTTTTTCTCGAGGTATGATGGCGTATCATTGATTAAGAATTTTTCTCGAGTTCTTTCCTTTCCTTCTAATTATTCCCAGCCTCTGATTTTTGTTCTGTTAATGATGGCTGACTACTAATTGAAGGTTTATACACCGTGGTGCATTGACTGCGAGGCTACGAGCAGGCAAATCGAGAAGTTAGCCAAGCATTTTAAGGGACAGGAAAATTTGAAGTTTGCTAGGATTGATGCATCTCTAAATGAACATCCGAAACTGCAGGTACATGTTTCATGCTTGATTATAGTTGTTTAAAATACCGAAATTCCTCGTTAAATTCTTGCTCAAATTGCATATTATTCATTAGCTTCACCTAAAAATTGAAGTGCTAAGATTTGTATAAACTATAAGGGCTCATTTGATGGCATGAATATCTAATTTTTTTGGATTTGCTGAGTATATATTTTTAAATGATTAATCAGTAAGTTTTTTTTTTTTTTTGAAATTGGCTATATGTTTTTTTCTTGATACATTTCAAACATATTGCTTGCATGGATATATATTTCAAAATTGTCTTGTTTGTATTGGAGCTCCTTACCCAACTAAGGTTTCGTTTGAGACAGCTTTCTTATTGCTTCTTAAAGCAGCTTTCTAATACAAAAATTAAAATTTTTTATTAAAAAATTACTTTAAGAAAGCTATTCCAATCAAAACCTAAAAGCTCTCTAGAGCCCAACCAGGGGACGAAAACACTTTTTGTTGCTGGATAAAAATGTTATGAGATCATTCATCCTAGCCCGGCCAAAGCTCAGCTGGAGTTCAACATATACAGCTAGAGGCCATTACTTTTTCGTTTATTGTATTAACATAGTCATCAATGTCCCAAGTTTTTCAGATATAATGGCTTCTTCCTTTACCTACTGTTCATCTTTTTCTGCAGATAGACAACTACCCTGCACTCTTGTTTTATGCTGCTGGAAATAAATCAAACCCGGTATATACATCAACTAAATAAATGATAACTTTGCATTTGCCATACGTATTTTGATTTTTTTTTCTCTGACAGATCAAACTCTCCAAGAAGTCCAGCACAACGGAATTGGCAGCTTTTATAAAAGAAAATATGAAATCGAAAACAGCAAATACATCAAGCCATGACAAGTTCAAGAAAGACGAATTATGAAATTCATTATTTGTTGAATGATGCTTAGCAACATCTAAAGTGAGCTCTTCTTCAACACCACTTCTATGCGATGTTGGAAGGGAAGATAATAATTTATAAATTTTTACATCTATGTGTAGGATGCTTTTTAAGTTATAAGGTTTAATTCTGGCGTTAGATTTTCATTGTAGTTCTTAAAACCTTTTTCTCCATTTATTTTATAAGGGGAGCTATAACAGGTTAACGCTTCAATAATTGTTTAATCTGTAGGATATCGAAATCTGTTATGTGAGATATTGTAAGTTGATCTTGGTGTCGTTGGGTTCGTATTTCCGAGACGCTCAGTTTGACTGTAAGCTCGCTGAAATCAGAGTTCGAGTGCGCCCAAAATTAATTTTTGTAGTTTCCAACTAGCTTTTGCCTCGAGATTCGTGCCAGATCAAGCTAATTTTGTGATGCCGTATCAATATATATATATATATTTGTATTTCAATCGTCTACAACAACATGAAGGTTTTATTCTTTCCTATTGGGTCAATTATCTATTTTTATTTCTTCGTGTCATATTAAGAGTTAATTTTTCATTTAAATATAATAAAAAAATTTATTTCTAATAATTTTTAACAAATTCTTTTTATACTTTAACTCTATTTTCTTAAGTATAGGTTATATCTAATACATCTACTCTTTTAGTCGGGTTATTGAAAGGCTCATGTTTTATGTGATCAAATCATCTAAAATGACTCTAATCTTATATGCCATTAGAGCTATTCCACCTTGGCATGCATGTACTCGATTTACAATGTAAAGGCACTCAATGAACTAGGCAGTTTTATCTTTGCAGCACTTAATTTATTTTTTGCTTCTCTTCTAATGACTAATATTTTGTGTCATAAAGTATTATAGGTCTTATCACCATCTTATAAAATTTTCCTTTTATGTTTGGAGTATTGCTTTTCTATAACATAATAGGCCAGATCCATTATTATTCTTCAACCATCTAACTTCAATTCTATTAATAATATCCTCATCTCTTTTACCATCATTTCGAACAATAAATCATGAATCTCATATACCTAAATTGTGTAATATTTTTAACGACTTGATTGACCAAAGTTACAACATGTACTCTAGATCTGTTACTATTAAAATTACACTACATATATTTAGTATTAGATATACTCAAATGGAAACCCTTGGACTCTAAGGTTGGCCTCCATAATTCAAGTTTTCCTTTTGACTCCATCTCTAGTTTTATCAACAAGAAGAATATCAATAGCAAAAAATATATACTAGGGTATATCTTTTTGTAAATGTCTAGTAAGAACATCCACGATTAAAATGGGAATATATGGGCTAAAAGTTGATCCTTGATGTAGTCCAACTGAAATAGAAAAATACTTGGCAAGCCACCTTGTGTTTGAACACTAGTAACAACTTCTTTGTAAAAATTCTTATTGACTTGAATATAAACATTATTAACATTTTTTTTTCTCGAACTCTCCATAGCAGTTATTGTAGAATTTTATCATATGTTTTCTCTAATTCAATAAATATCATATATTAATCCTTCTTAGTATCTCTCTACTCCATCAAACCTCTTTCAAATGTATAGCTTCCATAATAGACCTATCCAACATGAATACAAGCTGATTTTGAGAAACTGGAGTAGAAACATCGTAACCTATCCTTAATTACTCTCTCAAATATTTTTAATGCATGACACATTAAATTTCTATAATTCACACACTCATGTGCATTATCTTTATTTTTAAAAATAGGGACCAACATACTCCACTCATCTGACATCTTTTTAGTCATCAAAGTAATATTAAAAAATCCATTAAGCTAAAAATTCATTTGTTTTCTAAGCATTTATATATCTTTATTGGAATATCATTAGGTCCAACTATATTTCAAGCATCCATTAGTATTTATTACCTTTAGATGTATATTCATGTTTTAGCAAAATGTTTAATGAATATTAGACACTGACTATCATTCCTCAAAGTTGATTTGATCAGAGTTTGAGAGATTCAGGAATATTGCATGTTAGCATATATTTTTTTAATTACCTTTATGTAAAATCTAATTCAATTAATGAATATAAATATGACTAATTAGTAATTTTGATGACCCTGCTCTATAAATATTGATAAGTGTTTGTGCAATCAAACTATTTAAAGGGTGTTGATGTTGTTGTTCACAGTGTGTACGGTAGTTAAGATAAACTATTTTCATGTTTCTGCTGTCAATAGTTGTGTATAAACAAAATATTATACATGGGCTTGTTTAGTAGCCAGTGGCGGAGCTAGAAAAATTTCGTAGAGGGGGCCTTCTTAAAATATTTATCCATAATCTTTGTGTGCAAATTCAAACTACCTACAATATGTAGAACTCATTTGAATGTTGATAAAATTTTAGATACACAAGATTGTGGTAATAGAGCATTATAATGTTGATAAAATTGTATTTATGTGTCCTTTTGAATCTATCTAATGAGTCAAGCAATTATAGAAGATTAAAACCTTCAAGGGCGGACACAATCACACAAGTATTTGAAGCATATTGATATGTTACCACTCAAAAAAATAGAAAACACAAGGAAACACAACTACATAGTAACACAAGTATCTTCAAGATGGGAAACAACCAAATAGGGAAAGATAAAAGATCACAAATTCACAACCCAAATATGGCCAACATTTTTTTTAGACCTCCATAGAAAACATATGGAAAAAAAGGTAAAATAACTAATACAAAAAAAAAAAAACTAAAAACAACATAAGAAATCTAAATCAATGCAATGCTGGATCTTACCTTATAGGATTCAAGCCTTTAAAGATGGACTGCTCACGGTGACGATCCTCATATGCGAAGTCGCGAAAGGTAAGAGAAATTTGAGAAATTCTAAAGCTCTCATAGTTTCATTGATGGCTGGACGCACAGGTGGAACTGTGGAAGTCGAAGGAAGAAGCTACAATACAGTGGAGATGAGAGCTGCGCCGCACGAGAGTTTCTGGGAGACTACTAAGGCGAGGAATGTTCAACCAGACAAAACCCTGAACCGTAAGCGATAATATAGGTTTTTTTTTTTTTTTGCAGAGGGGGCATGTGCCCCTGTGGGACCCTGCCTCCCTCTGACATTGTTTGTAGCTATGATTAGCTATTACTATTTTTTGTGTTATGGATAGTTATTTTGAGAGAGATTATCATTCTCAAGTGTACATTACAGAGTATTAATTACACTACAGAAAATTCATGTATTTCTGGCGGTCTGTACCGGCGGTTAGACCGCTAGTAATAACTGGCAGTTTAACCAGATGTTATTTAATTAACCGCCTCCATAATTAGTGGCGGTCTAATAACCGACAGTTAGGTTGCCGGTAATATTTTTTACCACCACTTTACCAGCGGTTATTACCTCCGGTTTTAAGTGATTTATTTTCGGAGGTCGGCATCGTCGGAAAACTGCCAAAAAATGCTCTAAATTTAGCCATCCCAAGCCTTCCACTTCATTTTCTCGCATTTCCCTCTCTCTCCCTACAGACACTCGCCCCCGACTCCTCCGCCCTCTCCGATCAAGTGAACCTCCTGTATAGGAATCCGACCGTTGAAAAGCTCCCTCTGGCTAAAGATCTCGCCCCCACTCTGGCATCAAAGCACGACCGAAGATCTCTCCCCCACTCCTACGCAAAATCGGCATCCGAATCGTAGGTTTGCATTTTTTTAATTTGCTATTTTGTAGTTTTAGCTAGTATTTTCCTATTATGCTTGAATTAAATCAAGGATTAGCATTAAGTCCATCTATTTTTGCTTTACTCTTGGATGTTCTCACTAGACATTTGCAAGAGGATATACCTTGGTGTTTGATTTTTGCTCATGATCTTTTTCTTGTTGATTTTGGGCAATCAAGTCATTTAGTATGAGTACACATTTTAGATATCTTGTGACTATTGTTCATAGTGATCATGAAATATATTGGGATATTATTAGTATAATTGAAGTTGGATGGTTGAAGTGGAGGAATGCATAAGTTTTTTGTTGTGGAGGAATGCAATGCTTTATAGTTCAGAATTTTGGTCATTAAAAGAGAAGCATAATAGTTAAGTGTTGCTGAGATGAGAATGCTTAGGTGGATGAGTGGCTTTACTCTTAGAGTCAGTTTATGAAACGAGCATATCCAAGAAAAGGTTGGAGTAGTTCTAGTGACAAATAGGATTAGAGAGAGTTGCCTTAGATGGTTTGGTCATATAAAACATCGACCTTTTCTGATAACTCTATTAGGAGAGTAGATGTATTAGATTTGACCAATGTTAGAAATAACCTTCCTTTATTAGATGTGCTACTGACCTATGTACCTTGGTGTTTACTTTTTGCTCATGATATTCTTCTTGTTGATAAGACTAGAGATGGAGTTCAACATAAAATTGAATTATGGAGGTCAACCTAGCTTAGAGGATATTACCTTGGTGTTTGCTTTTTTGCTCATGATATTCTTCTTATTGATAATACTAGAGTGGGAGTTCAAGGTAAACTTGAATTATGGTGATCAAGGTAAGCCTATACCTTGGTGTTTATTTTTCTTTAGAGGATGTACTCAACTTCCTTTTGGAATTATGTGAATATATTCATGTTATTTTCAAGCCAAAGTGACTATACAAAGTGACAAGTAATCCTAGCATGCATGCATTTCTAGATGTTCAAATCATATCAAATTTGATTTTAAAATTTTCTAGGAGTCATAGGAATGAATTTTTCCTCTCCATGATGACTCCAAAACACTCAAATAATAATAGTTTTTGAGTTTCCTTAAGACTCCAAACACTTTATTCTATAAGAAGGTTGTGAGGCCTACAATGCTTTATTGTGAGACCTACAATGCATTCCAATATAATTAAAAGTACACTTGTTCGAAAGTAAAGCACATACACTTGTTTAGGATACATATGTTCTAATAATTGATTTCACAACTTTGTAGGGAAATGTTGGCTTTAACATTCAAATGAATATCCAAGAAGAGAGATATTGGATGTATAACAGATTATTATCGAGTCGAAGAGGATTAATAGATGAATTTATATAGGGAGTTGAGACTTTTATTCAAGTTTCATCTCAACTACCTTCTTTAAGTTTGATGGAATGTTTAGATGTTCATATTTGAAGCACAAAAATCAAGCATTCCTCAAACCCGATGATGTGAAGGTTAATTTATATCGTAGGGGATTTATTCCAGACTATTGGATTTAGAC